CCTTCCATGCGTCAGGGAAACAAGAGGTGGTGAAGCAATGATTGACAATATGAGTCAAGGTAGGTAAAATAAGCGGTTAAATTATTTTAATAAATCGTATTGGAATGCCGTCTTCGCCTATTGCATTGGACCGTATTTTATTGATACATCTTACTACATAACACTCAGACACAGCACTAAATTCAAACATTTGACCAACAGAAGGACGAGGACACGAAAATGAAATGTTTGGGGCGAGTAAGCAAGGGGAAGACACACGGCTCACAAAGAAGTTATTTAGAGTTTCAGGCTCGAGTAGGCAGCTAGTGCTGTTACTGACATGTACTCGGAGATTTTTTAGGTTTCGCCACAGGACATTATTGGGGAGTGAGGGATCCAACTTTTTCCAAAGAACCTGCGCTTTTTACGTTTAATTACTGAAGTGGCTTCATTCCTAACTGCCTTAAATGCAGACCAATTTGCATCTGAACGGTTCTTTTTCCACCGAGAATAAGCCTTATTACGCTTTATGATCATAGTTTGGACCGCAGAGTTGAACCAAGGGCAAGATGAGGATCTGTTCTCAAAAGTGCGTAGCGGGACATGAGCTCTAAGAGCACTCAGAACGTTGTCATTCAAAAAGGCAAGCTTCTCATTCACCGTGCAAAGTCCCCAGCACATAGACCAATTAATGTGTGAGAGGTCAGTTTAGAGATTAGCAACGTTTAGAAAACGGTAGTCAAATGAGATATGGCTGTTTACAAAGTTAGTACGGTCAGAATTAAGATTAAAATCAAAAGAACAGAAAATGAGATCATGGTCTGATATAAAGGACAGCTGATCAAATTTTAGCACACTCTAATAAAATTGGATCGATTCAGGATATTTGTCTACAACTTAACGAGGACTTAAGCTCAATATTATCATGGTCTAGGGAGAATTTACTTTGCCTCAATGCTCAAAAATCTTGTGTAATACCTGTCGCTAAAGATAAATTTTTGGCATCGGATATTCCCAACTTATTTATTGTAGCCAACCAGCTTAAATTAAGTGACAAAGCCTGGAATTTGGGTTTCGTTATTAACTCTAGACCTGCGTGTGATGATCATGTTAATGAAGTTGTGAGTAAAATATTTTTTACTCTACGATGTCTTAGAGTAACTTCACCTTATATACCGGTAGCCACTAAGAAAAAGTTAATTACAAGTTTAATTGTTCCTTATATCACGTACTTTGACATCGTCTACGGCAAATTGGACTCTCATTCACTCCAAAAATTGAATTGAAAAATTAACACTGCCACAAGGTATGTATTTGGTTTAAAGAAATACGATCTATGCGTAATTCTATACTTGGCTGTGATTTACAAAATTTTCTGAACGCGCGTAATTGTATTTTTATGTTCAAATTATTTATCACGAAGAGCCCGGAATATCTGTACAATAAACTTAAGTTCTCCAAGAGTACACGTTCGTTGGGTCTTATTCTTCCGAGATTTAACTATTTATGCACTTTAAGACTGTTTTTTATTAATGCGGTAAGGCGCTGGAACTCCCTTCCACTGTCCTTGAAGAACGCGTTGCACATAGGCAACTTAAAAAACTCATATTTAACTTTTTTCTTCCAAGCGTGATCAAGAATAGTGGTTATAAGCTTACCTTTGTTTTATTTTAGAATTTATGATTTGTAATTCAACGTATACATTCCCTTAATCTATATTGTAATATTAATTATTATCTGTACTTTTGCACTTGCAAGTAAAGATTACATCTTAATGCACTAATGTTTTCAATATAATATTAAATTAAATTAAATTAATTAAAATTAAATAAATTTTAACCTTTATTTAGGTTTACCAGTGGTTACTTAACACTTTGAGAGAATAGCGGAAGCGACACGAAAGTCTTCGTCGGTTAATTTATTCCTTATCTTCTATACCCATAGGCTAATTTCCTCCTTTTGACTCTTTTGTACTCGCCCTTTTGTCCAACATAAGGCCTCATACTCGTAAAATCTATAAAGCACCCTTCTATTGAAAAAAGACTGTAACAGTTATTCGTCGCCACCATGCACGGCGGTGCAGCCCAATACATTTTTTGGAAAAAGTAGGATTTGGGGGGCTTTAATTTTTCGTATGTAATATTTCTGGACATAAATCAAGAAGAAAAACGAAAAATGGTCGTGATCATTTTTTTTTTAAATGCCAATAAAAAAATATTAGAATTCAAAACGATTTTTTAGCCGCTCGAAACTTGTACTTATTTTCCTAAAATTTTATAAGCCTTGTAACTGCATACCCAACAATGTTATAAAAATACTGGTTAAAAAGCTCAAAACTTGGATAAAAATTTTTGGAATTTTTCTAAATTCTGTATAATGTCTAAAAATAATAATAATAAAAATAATAATAATAATAATAGATTGGCGCTTACACATATGTTAATGTTTGGCCGAGCTTCTCCTCCGACTTGTGGCGTGTGTCTTGATGTTGTCACACAAAGCGGAGGGACGTACAGTTTTACGCCGACTCCGGACGGCGATTGTATTTTTATGAGAAGCTGTTTTTCATGGCAGAAATGCACTCGCCATAGCCTGCCGAGGGACGACCGCTGTTAAGAAAAAACCTTTTTTCTATATTTTTGCGATGTTGCTTTGACCAGAGTTTGAACCCAGGCGTTGTGGAGTGGAAGCGCGCACTGCTTACCACTACACCACAGCGGCCGATAGTTTAATGTTTAAAAGCTTCATTTATATGGTTTTTGTTAAAGCATGAACCAAATTGTTTTTAAAAGATAACAAAAAAAAAAATACTTTGAAAAGCATTCTAAATATTAAAAACAAAATACCACTCATATACTTTTGACCGCCAGTGTAAGTGAACACTCAAAACAGGGGCGTGATCGATTTATTTTAAAGCTAGCTTAACGCTGTTAACCTAGCTGAACAATCTTTAAATTTTTGTGTAGGTGACAAGTTAGCACTACATACCATTTTTCTTAAAAAACGAAAGCTACAAATTTTTTCTTTCCACAACAAATTTACAACAGAAAAGCTACAATTAATGCCGTTATAACATTTTCAATATCTCAATTCTATCGACTAGGTGTATGGTGTCAAGTTAGGCTACATACCATTTTTTCTTAAAAAACGAAAGCTACAAATTTTTTCTTTCCACAACAAATTTACAACAAAAAAGCTACAATTAATGCCGTGGTAACCTTTTCAATATCTCAATTCTGTCGTCAATGGTGCATGGTGTCAAGTTAGCACTACATACTAAATTTTGTTCGAAAAAGGGTCAACTAAATTTTTTCAAGAAAAACGAAAGCTACAAATTTTTTGTTTTCACAACAAATTTTAAAGTTACAAGCTACAGTTAATAGCATAGTAACATATTGGATATCTCAATTCTATCGACTAGGTGTATGGTGTCAAGTTAGCACTACATACGATTTTTTCTTAAAAAACGAAAGCTACAAATTTTTTCTTTCCACAATAAATTTACAACAAAAAAGCTACAATTAATGCCGTTATAACAGTTTCAATATCTCAATTCTATCGACTAGGTGTATGGTGTAAAATTAGCACTACATACCATACATTTACGTAAGCTACAATTAATGCCGTTGTAACCTTTTCAATAACTCAATTTTGTCGTCAATGGTGCATTGTGTCAAGTTAGCACTACATACTAAATATTGTTCGAAAAAGGGTCAACTCAAGTTTTTCCATAAAAACGAAAGCTACAAATTCTTTATTTTCACAACAAATTTTAAAGTTAAAAGCTTCAATTAATGGCATAGTAACATATTGGATATCTCAATTCTATCGACAAGGTGTATGGTGTCAAGTATACATACCATTTTTTCTTAAAAAACGAAAGCTAAAATTTTTTCTTTCCACAACAAATTTACAACAAAAAAGCTCCAATTAATGCCGTTATAACATTTTCAATATCTCAATTCTATCGACTACGTGTAAAGTGTCAAGTTAGCACTACATACCATTTTTTTTTTAAACGAAACCTAAAAATTTTTTCTTTCCACAACAAATTTACAACAAAAAAGCTACAACTAATGCCGTTGTAACCTTTTCAATATCTCAATTCTGTCGTCAATGGTGGATGGTGTCAACTTAGCACTACATACTGAATTTTGTTCGAAAAAGGGTCAACTCAATTTTTTCCATAAAAACGAAAGCTACAATTTTTTTCTTTTCACAACAAATTTTGCAGTTGAAAGCTACAATTAATGGCATAGTAACATATTGGATATCTCAATTCTATCGACTAGGTGTATGGTGTCTAGTTAGCACTACATACCATTTTTTCTTAAAAAACGAGAGGTACACATTTTTTCTTTCCACAACAAATTTACAACAAAAAAGCTACAATTAATGCCGTTATAACATTTTAAATATCTCAATTCTATCGACTAGGTGTATGGTGTCAAGTTAGCACTACATACTTACCATTTCTTTCTTAAAAAACGAAAGCTACAATTTTTTTCTTTCCACAACAAAAAAGCTACAATTAATGCCGTTATAACATTTTCAATGTTTCAATTCTATCGAATAGGTGTATGGTGTCTAGTTAGCACTACATACCATTTTTTCTTAAAAAACGAAAGCTACAAATTTTTTCTTTCCACAACAAAAAAAGCTACAATTAATGCCGTT